CCGCCACCCACCCAGGAGAAGACCCCAGTTCAAGGCCACACGCAGCAGGAGCTGCCCCTGGCTGACCGCAGGGCACTGCTCCAGAAAGTCTTCGTCCAGGTAAAAAAAAAAAACACCTGCACAGGTTACCGTCAAACTTGTCCAAAAGATCAAGGGGAAGAACTGAACTGATCAAAAGATCCACAGCTTGATCATTTTTATTTTTCTGTTCCTGCCTGCGCTACCAATTCACTTTATTTTAAAAGTACTTAGATAAATAGGAATTTATAAGTATATTTTTTTAAATACTTAAGATGGGGAGATTTTCACAGCTGCGTTGTAATTGTCTCTTGTTGTTTGAAAGATTACTTGTTTTTGTGCAGTTTTAATGATGTAGAAAACCTATTTTTAACTTATTTTCCTCTGGAGAAAAACTAATTTGAGTCATTTGTTATTATTCATCAGCAGTGCAAGTCTTGTAGAGCCTGATAGTTAGTGACATAAATAGATTGGTGGATCCCTTACTGTAATCATGGTGAAAAATTCTATCTGATTTATTTAGCATTTATTTTAACTGCCGTTGTGACCTTGGGACCTAAATCTTTAGCATTTTCATGTTAATAATGGCAGTTAGAAAATGCATTTGCAACAAACACTCTTCTCCACAATGTTTTTTTTACCAGCAGCAGTTTTATCAGCTCATTTTCAGGCTGATGCCTTTGGCTGGAGTCCAATTTCCTGTTCTTTCCTCTCTTGCAGATCTTGGTGAAGCTCTGCACCTTCGTTTCTCCGGCAGAGGAGCTGGCCCAAAAAGACGACCTGCAGCTGCTGTTCAGTGCCATCACCTCCTGGTGCCCCCCCCACAACCTACCGTGGAGGAGGAGCGCAGGAGAGGTGCTCACCACCATCTCCCGACATGGCCTCAGCGTCAACGTGGTCAAATACATACATGGTATATATAAATGTAAAGTATGTGTACGACATCTGCGTACATGTGTGAGTTTATGACTTATTCACACATGGTTTAGTTGTGGTGAGACAAGGCTAAATTGTGTATATGTAGTTGTAAGCCCACCCACCCAAGATACATTGAAGATCCAATCTTCTAAACCACTTCTGGAGTTTATACAACATGCATTAGGCCACATGAAACAATATAAAATGCAGTGTAATCTACATAGAGGAGCTTTACACTTGAATCTACAGATCCAACAAGGAAGCGCATGCAAAATAGATATCTGTCATGCACACACAAAACACATTGAAAGAATACTGGCAAAGCAAGCAAAAGATTTTGTTTACTGACATTTGTAAAGCACACAAATAATGCAAGAGAATTTGCAGCCAAATTAAAATTTGTAAACCTCTTGAGGGTTGCACAGTTTGTTGTCAGACTTAGTATCTAAGCAAAATATTACCTAAATGTAACCATGCTTCCATTATTACTTTATATGTGATAATACACACATGGATCCTTTTATTTGAGAAAAAACCTGGACCTTAAAGGCATCCATAACTCACAAGTTTACAGCAGAATGTTTGACCAAAAGTCAGGTTACAAATCTTTGTGCAGCATTGTACAGTAAATCTGGACACAAATGGGGAACAAGTCACACTGAAACAAGACATACAAGCCGTTACAGTATATTATTAAAAAAAACTTGGAGGAAGTGCAGCTGCTCTTTTGGTTCCTGTCACCCACCTGCAGCACTGATTTCCAGAAATTACCACACTGGGGTGTAGAGAGCCATCCCTTTACTTATTGAAGTATGTGTTAATCAATGAAGATGATGTGTGCTGAACTTGCATTTAGCTAAACCACATTGAACTGTTGGACATGGAGAAGGATGTTCTCTAGTTATAGAGGTGTAAAAAGAGAATCAGACCTATCCAAGCTTCTTAATGTTTTCCACCTGATGCTTTTCTTTCTTAGAACCATAATTAAAGTAAGCAAAGCAAATATACTTCATCATTTTAACAGGTCTGGCTCTATAAGGTTTTCCAATGATAACACTTGTTTTTCCATAGTTAGTCATCCTGCTTTACATTTCTCCCTTCAATATAAAGACTAAAGAAGAACACAGTCCCTTCCTCTTCCTCACTGTTAACCCTTTCTGCCCTCAACCCCTCCATCTACAGAGAAAGAATGCCTGGGCACATGTGTGCAGAACATGCAGCAGTCCGATGATCTGTCACCACTGGAGATTGTGGAGATGTTCGCTGGCCTCTCCTGCTTTCTCAAGGACTCCAGTGACGTGTCACAGACCCTGCTGGATGATTTCAGAATGTGCCAGGGTTACGCCTTCCTCTGCGACCTCATGCTCAGGTACATCTTCATCCCTACAGCTGACATGCAGTGTTCCTCGAGTGTGTCGTATGAACATTCATACAAACCTCTCTCTCTGTATACAGACTGGAACAGGCCAAGGAGGATGAATCGAAAGATGCACTGAAGGACCTGGTCAACCTGGTCACCTGTCTTACTACATATGGGGTGACTGAGCTTAAACCCGCTGGTCTGACAACCGGAGCCCCCTTCCTGCTCCCTGGCTTTGTTCTCCCGCAGCCTTCTGGGAAAGGTATGTTAATGATAGCAACTGTGGCTAGTTAAGATGGCTCTTGTCCATCCTCTTTTCTTATCCACTTATCCATATGACAATTTGGTTTTCTTTACAAGCCAATCCTGGTCCAGTATGCACAAGTGTGATGTAGAAATGTGAAGCCACCAGTGCACATAGACTGAGAATGGAGTTTACAGTGAAGCACGAGACGTCTTGTGTTCAGCAGGAAAACTTTAGAAATGTAAAAGAACCTGGAATTTTGAATGAGGTAGAAGGA